GAGTCTGGCCTAAAGGATTCATTTGGAAAAGGAGTCTTCCGAATCAGGGCAAAGGTTGAATTCGGCGGCAACACCTTTGTGAATGACAAAGACTTGGAGTCACACTTCGCCAGACACAGGTGCAGCCGTTCCGAATATGATGAGGTATCAAAGAAGTGGTCATCAAACAAAGGTGGGTTCTACATGTGGGACATCAAAGTACTTGAGATCCTTCCGACACCGCTGTACATTGCAGTTGGTCCTGGTCAGGCGGGATCATATGTCAAAAAGACAAATATATAATTGATATGCAGTAGTTGATATTGAACTATTTATTATTTCACTTGCTCACTCACTGACTCACTTACTCCTTGTCTCCAACTCCAACAGGAAGTGTGGACGGCTTTCTACATGAAGGACTCACATGCCGACATCGACGCAGTCAATGCTGCTAAAAGGGGGGAGAATCAGAAAGAGAGCACGATCAAGTTGATCAAGCAGCCTGAGGCTGTCCCTAGCTGTGTTCCTGAGCCCGAGCAAAAGCGGGCACGAGCTACTATTGAGCCACTTGATCCCATTGATCCCAGGGAGCAATCCAAAAAGCTGCTGGATGCCGTTCCGAATTTGACCAGACTTGCCACCACGGAGGCCGAGAAGACTGAGGCTATCAAGAACTTCAAGAAAACACAAGTTGATGACGACGATGATGACAGTGGACATCGTCCACACATTTGCATTGCTTTAGAAGAAGCGCTAGAGGAAGAGTATCCGGAGTTGTTCAACATCAATACCCGCCGACCATCAGCTCAAGATGTGGTAGGCAATCATGGCCCTGCCAAAGATATAGATGCTGTGGTCAAATTGACAACGGGGAAACTCTTACAGGAACTGAACAAGGATCGGGGGTTGTTTGTGGGATCGGGGTGAGTGGTTTTGGCAAAATAAACCGGCCGGATAAAGATTAATTTTGATAAATACATTGAATTTCAATATTCAAGTATTCAACTAAGTTCCACTAGACAACTTGCAGGATGTGGCGGCAGAGCCGCAGCCGGAGCAACACAACCGTGGCACTTCTGTGCCGGAGCCGGAACATTGTGGACGTGGAGCAACAGATGCAACCTCTGTTCCTCTTCAGAATGCTCAGCCTTCTCAGCCTTCTCCTCCTGTGGTGGAAGAGAGTTCTGCTGTACTTGTGCAGACTGTCGCACCTGCCGCATGCCAACCTCAAAAACATAGGAACATAGGCTTCTCAGAAGCTCAAAGGCATGTCTCAAACATGAAAGAGGGCTTTGATTTCTTCAGGCATGCCGTGGAAGAGGTTTTGATCCAATCTGATGAGGACTTCTCACCAGATTCCAATTGCAGCCGCCAAGACTTTCTCAGTGAAGGCAAACTATGCCAATGGATGGAAGATCTATCAATTTCAACTGCTTACTCGGGTGTGGGCGCACCTGAAACAACGGTCAATATCTTGAGGAGTACTATGGCAAGCATGTTTGGCCATGAGAAAACCATTGCAAAGCCGAAGGTCCTTTTCCAAATCGAGTGGGATGAGCCATGCCGGGCAGAGCTTGCTTTGTTCGACAACGTCAATGATCACCAAGCATGCATATTCGGTGATCTATGTGACTTTTTTTCACCTCATTTGGCAGAGACCATTTCCGAGCTAAAGAAGCGTCCAGAGCTCGCATTGGAAGTGCTTGCCGGGCAAATAGCAAATGGGGAAGCTGTGGTCACGTCGGCCTACTGCTACAAACACAAGAAGACTTGCTCTTTGACACTTTGATGGATTTGGATTTGGCACATGTTTTGACTATCTTTGTTATTGCCCCCTGGATTCTGGATTCCACTGATCCACTTGGCTATTAGCCTTGTTGGTGATTGCTTGATTGCTTGGGCCGGTTGGGGCTAAAGGGTTGCCCGGATACAAATACACGATTCACACTTTCAGATGCTGTGACATCTGTAATAATCCTAAAGCTTGTGTGGTTCAGTGGTTCTGGCTTAGGCCTATGGCATTGCTCCACATTGCAGGCACAAGCTGCGTTGCTTTTTCGCCCTGTGGAAAGCAGCTGGGGCTCCGCGATCCAACTGTTTTACCATTCTTGGTTTGGCTAGGCCACAGGTTAGTCTTGCAGGAGCCCATCATCATTCATGAGAATTCGAAGAGGTTCCCGACAAGCGTCTTGCATCGTCTCCTCGGACATTTGTATGTGATCGATGAGTCCAATGTGGAAGCAGGGGAGTATGGCCTTCCCGTGAACCGGGAACGCAAACTGACACGACTTTTTCACAAAGCAAAGGTGAATTTGAGCGCTGCCAAACCATTTGCGGATTTCCACAGGCGGTTCACACGTAAATCTTCGATGAGTTGGAAGGAGTTCTACTGCCTGCATCTCTTTGGTCAAGACCACCAGGCGCGGCAGGCATGCAAAGACATGTTTGTCCTGTTGGTGTTTGTTTTGTTAAACTTAAACTGATGTGTTCAACCCTCTTTGAATGTTTCTGTTCTAAGCCTGGGCTTGTTACTTACTTGTTTATTGTTTCTGTGTAACACTTTCAGCAGGACGAACTTGAAGAAGACTTGAAGTGGGCTACGACAAGGCCTGCTGCCGTTCGCGCACGTGCCGATGCTGCCGATGCTGAAGGCAAAGATCAGAATGTTACAAACAACCCATGGGAGGAGGCACTGACAGAGTTTGAGAGAAAGTCACTTCAGGCCTACAGAACGCGCTTTCCAGGCATGAGCTACTCTCTGACTCAGAATGGAGCAACCGGGTTTGCGATGCATAGCACGGAAGAGTTCATGCATACTTTGATTCGGAACGCTGGGCTTATTTGGTCGGATGGATTAGCCAACGAAAGCGGTGAAGGGCAAGGAGAGGGATGTGGGTAGAGGGCTTAAAGGGTGTGGCAGTTGAATTTGAATGGAGATACGGATAAAGGGCTTAAAGGCTCTCAGTTCTCAGCTGCGTTTGCACCTGTTTTTTTTGCTTTATTAACCAATATCAATATCCCACGTCATCATCATAATCATAATCACAATGGACACTTAGCCTTGGCCCAGCCTCAGCTATGATCAGGAGTGCACACGGTCGGACCAGCCGGTGGAGAATTGATGTGGAAGTGTGGGCGATGGCTCAGTGGAAGTGAGGCTTTGCTTCTACAAGGCTTTCCCGTGCATCCCGTCTTGCACAAGGGCTTGAAGTTGAGCAGCTACCATTTCCCAAACCCTTCCAGGTCTTCTCGAACCATGCGGACACAGGCTGGGAACAGCATGCATGTGGGTGCCATTACTGTGCAGATTCTGTACGTGCTCCTGTATGCACAGGTCATGTTCTCAGTTGTTTCTTTTTGAAGCTGACTGACTGACTGAGTCAGGGTCCACTGTCCACTAGTCTAACGACTGTAACGTAACGGGAGCAGTGAGCAGTGACTACTTCAGCAACAACTACAATTTGTTTTTGTTAAACCATGTTGTTGCTGTGGCTGTGGCCGTGATATTATCTCAGGTGCAAAGACCAAGCCCAACCATCAGGGGATTGCACATGATGCGCAAGATGCTGGTGGATGAGGAAGGGGAAAAGGAATCGATGTCTACGATGAGGCGTCATTCCGTGAAATCTCCAGGTCGACAATTCAAGCAGGGTCCCATGTTCCGACGTGTGTATGACCCGATTGCCATTGCGGACAAGTGATTCCATGCAGCCAAAAGAAGTTGCCACCCAAGTGTGGTGTGATGTGTTCTACGGCCTTATGGCGGTACAGGTACAGTCTCTACAGTGCATCGAGCATAATCTTGATGTCCATTCAATTTCAAATCTAATTCGTCGATATCCGATTGCTGCGATTGCTCAGCCTGACCAGTCCAGTGTTTGCAGTTACGGGCAGTTACGACTTTTTTGGGGTCTGTGATACAGTGATAAAGTCATCACATGTCCTTTTCATGTGTCAGCGTATGATCCTAGAGGTTGCTTGCGCTCGGCGCTCAGTTCGTCAGTTCAGGCTTGCTGCATTCCGAGAATTCAATCATGGAGTAGCGGCCGCCACATACGCACATTGCATACCTGATACCTGATGGCGATTTGTACATATGCATGAGACCGCCGTATTCATATGTATGTGACAGTGCGAAGCAGGCTCGACTATGATAGAAGTTTGGAGCAGAAGACACAAAACGTCCGCGGTTGTCATGAGTAAGAAGTCAGAAGTTGAATGCAATGCTTGCATTGCTGCATTGCCTTTGCAGATTTTAGATTTGCTATATTTTACTATTACATGTTGCAGCATTGTATTTGATTGTCAGTCGGTAGACTCAGTCGTATAGTGAACCATACTCGTAACAGGTAACGTAAGATGATGATTCATTCCATTTTAAATGTTAAAACTTAAACTTACAGTAATACAGACTTGTCTCACATTGGTCACATTGGACTTTAACCATTTCCAGGATTCGGACTCCGCAGCCGCAGCCGCGCAGCTCCTGCTGTGGTTTGGACTGGACCGTCTGGACACCCAGCCGAGTGGCCGGCCGAGTGGCATGCCTTCAAGTTCAAGTCTAACTAACGTTAGATAAAAGACATCTGAAGCAAGACTCAGCCTCAGCTGACCATTTGATTCGATTTGCCAATTTGACCGCCACATGGATGCCAATGTCACTGTCACTTAAAGACTTAAAGTTTAAAGACTTGAAGTGCACCGATTTGAAACGGTCTGAAACGGTTTGATTTGTGTTCAGTCGTTCAGTCTAATCTATCGTCTGCCAAGCCTTGTAATGATGTGTCCTGTGTGATGTGCAACATTTGGGTTCTAGTGTTCTCAGTTCTCCAGTTCTCCATCAGAGTCCATCACGTTGGACTGCTTGGTGGGCATTGGGCTGGTACGGCTGGTACGTTCGGATTCGCTCCATCACTACTAGTGATTCCCTGCGAGACTGTGTGAGAGAAAGCATGAAAAGGCCAGCAACAGAGGTCGACCAAAACGAACCTTCTGATGCAGCTGGTCATGCTCACGCAAAGATGGCACGGGCTGATGATCACCCGTGTGATCCGGAGTTTGTCGGCCTCAAGGGAAGCCTGTTGGTGGAAGCGATCTTCAAGAAGTATGGAGCTGGTGTTACGACAATCAAGTGGCTCAACGAAGAAACAGGGGATCGCAACATCAAGAGAGATCCAGTGAACAGGCCAGTGATGGAGTCCTTGGCAGAGGCATACTGTGACAGGATATTGCAGTCTGGATTGAATCAGGATTGTTCTGGCAGAGCGTGGATGTGTAGTCACTCCTCTACTGCGATTACACCCTGTCAAGCTATCACATACAACCACCGCTCTGAGGCAATGTTCCGGGCTATCCAAAGGGAACCAGATAACCCATTTGTCATCAAGGCACTGGCATCTGGCTTGGAAGGAGCAACTCGCCTAAAAGCCAACGATTGTTGCTCTTTGACATTTGACTCGTGACTCGTGACAGTGTGACAGTGTGACATCAAAAGATACCTGCGTATATTGCATATATTACGCATATTATATGTAGGGCCTGTAGTTGCCATTGGAGTCATTCGAGGTTCGACTATTGTCAAGCAAGACACCAACAGCAGTCCGGCAATTGCTTTGCTCTATGCACAACGATTTTCATCAAGGACTTGGAGAGACATGGTTGGACTTATTAGATCAAGCTCAGGATCTAATGCAAGCTTGGGAGCACAAGATCAGCTCTCCAGAGGGTGGAACCCGCCTGACTACAAGGAACGCACAGTATGACAGCTTTCTCGAGGCATTCATCTTCAAGGAAAAGGGTGCTACCGCCTGGGGCGACAGCCTCAACTTTTTCAGGATTACGAGTATCCTGAACAATTACCTTGTCAAGTACCAGGTGAAGGAAACAGTTCGACAATGGGCCAACACACACATCAACTACTGTGACTTCTCCTTGAACAACAGGCCTTCGCTTGTGCCCATGTAGATGAGTGCAAAGTCATTTCTGACGGAGACAGAGACGGAGTAATTTTGTTTAGAAACAGAAGGGTTTGAAGGGTAGTAAACATCGCAAAGAACTAAGAACATGATACATACAAGCTACAGAGGACCAAAGTCAAACCAAATATCATATTCCATTATTCCATATTCACTAAAACTGCCCCCCTCCGTTGCCGCAGTGGCAGTTGCGCAGGGACATTATCATGATGTTCCACCAGCTTGTTGTCATCATCGTTGGCCAGTGCGCTCGGTTCTATCCACGGGAACATATCGGCGTGTTGATCACAGAAGCAATCAAGTTTTGTGTGTCTTGGCTTCAGATCAAACACAGAAACACAGTTTGGTGTGTAATTGAAGTTGCAAGCGCTTACACAAACAGTTTCAACGGAAAAAGGTCCAAGATAGTCCAAGTGTATAAGTGTATGTATGTATGTATGTATGAATGTATGTATGTACGTATGTTTTACCTGGCTTAGTATTGAGTTTTGAGTTTCTGAGTTGAGTTTAGTGACCTGCAATGCAATCTATTTCCTCTGGTCAAAGCATTGAAGGTTCCAACTCGCCATGCTGGAACTGGTGAGCGGCTCATTCCACAAATCTTTCTCAAGCCTGGGAATGAGACGGCTTCAGTGATGAACTACATCATCACTCCTATGGCAACCAGCTCCGTGTTCAAGAAGCTTGAAGAAGAAGCTGGGGCAGGGGCAGCAGGATCAGACCAACCTGGTAAGGGAAAGGGAAAGGGAAAGCGTCGGCGAGGACAAAAAGGAAAAATCGCAGAAGGGGCGACGGAAGCGGAAGCGACCTTTTCAGCTTTGGTGTACCCAATGGATGGTGCCAGTGAAGAGCATGCACGTCCAAAGACAGCGCTTGATGATTTCATGTGCCTGTTCATGTCTGTCTCTGCCAAGTGTGAGAAATCTTTGGGTGAGTCTTGCAAAGGCGGGCAGACATCGATGCAAACCTACAAGACATCCGTGATCACACTCCTTGGGCATACGGCCTCGTGCTTTTTCGAGTTTTGCTTCACAGGATCTGTTGCCATCAACGGCAAATTTGTCCGAAACTACTCAAGCTTCAGGACAGAAATGTCGACTTTCATTGCTACGGCTTGTGAGATGTCTGTGGCTAGCGCTTCCCAGGCATCTGGCTCTGGAACAGGACGTGCGTCCCAGTCCCTGTCTGCACACATTTCAGAAGTTCTGGGTGCCGACCCGACTGTGCTTCATCTTGGTCATGTGAAGGATGAATCGGATGAAGCAAAAGCCCTTGCTCGCATTAAGCTCGGTGTGCCAATTGCTGTGCGGGGTGGTATGGACACATTTGTACAAGACGTGCTGCAACTTCCCTTGGAATATCATGGGGCCTTCGCTACAGAGATTTGAACGAGTTCAAGAACATTGTGCTTTTCATTGTTTCATTTTCATTAATTTTTCAATAATAATGTTTAAGTCAATTGTCACGCAGCCAGCAGCCAGAATTCAGAATCAAACTCACTTCAGTCCAATCCAATTACAGTAAACCTGCTTGCTACATGGTTCTGTGTATGTTCTGTGTCCTGCTTGCTGTGAAATGCTGAATGCTGTGAATATTGAGGCCAAGCAAGCGCTTGCACTCAACCAGAGCATCACCCGAGAGTCATCGTTGTCCCAGGTTCTGCAAATTGTCTTTGACAGCTTGAAGGATGCCATCCCACAATCGTGGGTTGCTTTGGCTGCAGATGTGAGCGAAATGCTGGTTGTCCGACTCGGGTTCGTGCCAGAGGCTGAAAAGCTCTTCTTGAGCCGCAAGGACTTGCTGGAGAGATTCATTTCGCTCAGGCCGCAGTACGCGCTGACAATGCTCCGCGACCTTGGCAAGTTGAACAAGACTACCTTTGGACCAAGCGTGAACTTACTTGTCAGCTCACTCCAGGTTGACATCACGAATTCCATGAAGCTGGCAGCCTCAAAGGGGAAAACCGACGCAACGGCTGCTGCGGCTGCAGCGGCTGCAGACCAAGCAGCTTCAGCTTGCGCTATCCCAAAACCGCACAAGGTTGCATTGTTGATTCCAGGGTTCGACGCTTTGCAAAGTCTTCCAGTGTTCGATTCAGAATGTTTTCATTTTTTGGGTGGTGGTGTGGTGGTGGTAGTAGCATTTGTAGTAGTAGATTTTTGTGTTGTTGTCATCAGTCATCAGTTGTCATCGCATTGTCATCACATTGTCTACCTGGTCTTAGCCGTGCTAAGGTCCTGAAACATGGTCGAGGAACTGGGCAAGCCTGTTGAATTCCAAGACACAAGAAGGCGCCTACAGCTTTCTCAAAACATTTGTCAAGAATGCTGGCTCCAGTGCGCATTTGCCAGAAGAAGATAACGATGCTGAGGATGAGGATCTGGCCGATGGCGGCGGCGAGGCAACGGCCGCAAAGTCCGCAAAGAGAAAGGCCAAGAACCAGGTCCCGTCAAGCATGACATTGAGCAAATTGGGACTATGCGGAATGGCACTAGTTGAGGAATCCGCAGACTACAAATCGCTATTCAGTACCGGTGTGGGTCAGCTTGAGGCTGGCCATGTCAGTGCCCTTGATATCAAGTTGCTCGAGAAGCAAATGGAGCTCTTGCTCTGGGACAGGGGTTCTGGGATTGGGCGATGGGGTTTGCTGTTTAGACTTAGACTATTTACACACACACACACTTGTGACAGTTGTGTGTTTAGCGGTGTGTCAGTGTGTCTTAGCTTCAAATCCATCATTGTTGTCCCTTTCAGGACAAGTTCAGGGGCAAGTTGGATTCATCCGCTGAACGCATCAAGTGGAACTTTGGTGATGCTGATGAGGAGTCCAAAGCTTTTTCCAGCGGCAATGCTCAGCAAGTGGCCAAGGTGGCAAAGAAGGTCCAAAGCCAACGGCTTATGCTGCAGGTGAAAGACCTTAAGAACAATGAGGCCTTGCAAAGGAGTCTGGAATTCCCATTTCTGGGTTCTGTGAGCACTGTTCGGACGGCGCACTCCATTCCTCTTTGCAAGGTGTTTGACGTTCCCTTTTTCATGAATGCGCCGCCAAACCCGAGTCCGACAAGTCCAGTTGTGATTCCTGCTTGGCTCGTGGGAACAACCAACAAAAAGGATAAAGCTACCTTGGTCGAGAACCAAGTCGTGTGTCAGCTCGCTACTCGACGTTGCATTTTGTGCGCGCGCTGCACGTTGCTACTGTTTTGTACAGTCTCACTGTTTAATCAATCTTAAAAACGATGAATAAACTTTGAAATTCCTGAAGTTATTGTATTTATGTAGAAAGAAACATTCCAGTATCAGCCGTATTCAGCCGTTAGTGCCCCAATGTCCCAATGTCGCGGGACATGGATCTGCATAAAAAGGTTAAGGTTAGTTGCTAAACTTTAGGCTTTAAGTCCAATAGAAGATGGTTTCTTTGAGTCCTGAACATGACAAGTCAAGTATTCACATCAAATCAAGTCGAGTCGAGGCTCTCTCACCTTCTTTCGAATTGACGCGTGTGCCTGATGCTGAACCGACCGATGCATACATCAAGATAGAGTTCAACGTGAGTGTGCACCTTTCATTTGCATAGACATGCCTATTGTCTGCTTTTTGTTTTTTTTTGGAGGTCGGATGGGGGGAAGGGGATGTCAAGTTATGTTTTCTTTTTTCTTGTTTGCTGTGTCTGATTTGTCAGGGTTCGGGGTTCGACTTCGCGTTTATTTATATTTGTTCATCGTCGGTTGAGGCTAACTCCAAACAATCTCGCAGTGACAACGGCTATCGCTGAATCAGATGATGAACTCCCCATGGTCAAGTACATTCCAACAAAGAAGGAAAGGAGCATACAGGCCTTTGAGGAAACTTGTTCGGGTGCTGATACACCGTTCGAATTTGGTTTTCCAGCTGCTTTGACCGAGAGGCGCACGGCCATGGAAGGTGCGGGGTTGGCCACGTCTTTGCCAACTCTGACTAAAGAGCAAAAGAAATTGGAGAAAGAAAAGAAGAAAGCTCTCACCAATGCAAAACACTTGCTCCACTAACTCGGCGTGAGGTTGTGCTTTCCGCTGGCTTGGTCCGTTAGTACCAGTCATGTCATGCCGGGCCGGGCCGGAACGGGCGGCAACTCAGAAAAAAAACATATTGTACTTGTACTTTCCTATGTTTTGCAAAGACTCATCAGGCGAGCCAGGTGAGCTGGACAACTTAAGTTCACATTTTGCTATTTGTTTGTTAGTGTGTCTTTCAGCGAATTGGTTGCGCCCAAAAAGACCTGGAATCCCCGGCCAAAGACCACGAATACCACAAATTCGTGGACTTCAAATTCATGCATGTTAGATCCCTAGTCCCTAGCTGGCGTCGGACACGGAAGGACAGGTCCGGCCTAGCGCGTGACCTTTCTTACATGAATAGTTATTTGCAGTCAATGACCCTCCCCTTTTGGGCTATCACAAGCACATTTATTGGTTGATCCTTTCACCAATATGGAACCTTTGTTTTTTTTCCTTAAGGACTGTGGAATGGTCATGTCTTTCTACAAACCGGCCACTGCATGATGCAATGCGAGAGCCAAAAAAAATGAGTTGATTGAGATTGGACCCTCTCCTGTGAACAGGCAGTGCAAGCATACTGTCTTGAGAGCCTTCTGTTTTGATTGCACTTCTGCGTTTCTCGCCGAGGTTTTTACGCGCTGGTGTCTGCAGACTGCGCCGAATTGCATGATGATTGCATCGGGAAAAAAAACACTCTTTCAGGTTGAGTTAAGCTTGGGCCGAACACCAGCATCTTTTTGTTTTTAGAAGTTAACAGTTGTCCTATTTCGATTATCTCGATAGAAGCCTGAAATCAGGCAATTTGAGCCCCCCCGGAAACAACAAAGGCGCCAGGAGGCTGAAAGCCTCAGGTTCATGGCGCATGTGCGGAAGCGTCGGCGTATAGCTAGTTACGCACGTCCCTATATGTGCTATAGCTGCTATAGGCTATATATATATGTTATATGCTATCCATTGCTTATTAATGTTTTAGTAGATTCAATGGAGTCCCATCACAGACCAAGACCGAAAGCATTGAATCGAAAGCAGTGTCAATTTGATATAGCTTGATCTCACAGCTTGAAAGAAATTGGAAGTTTTTGGTACTTGCATTTTGTCCTTAGAATGACAGGTAACACAGCACCGGTCTTCTTCACTTGCACTCCTCAATTCCAGCATCCGTGAGGTCACCCATCTCCCTGAAGTCCTTCAACTCACCCCCTGCAGGTTCCCGCGTCGCCAGTCGCGTCGCCATGCACGACAGGATGCGGTGTGGCTCATCGACTTTGCCACATCCGTGGATTTGCCTTTGCTCACGGATCTGTGCAAGTCAGGGAACCCAAGGGCCCCACTCGAGGTACATGTGGGCGTGGATTTCAATGAGAGGTCTGGAGGGCATTTGCTAAGTAAATTCACTCTGGTTGCTGCAGCGGCTAATTTACCAGAAAAGTTCACCATAATTCTACAGAGATCATGGGGCCGGGTAGTTTCTATGAGGTCGATGCTTACTCATCTCCCATACCCACTGGTTTCCAAGTCCAACGGCCAGAAAGGGACATGTGACAGACGGCTTCGCTTCATGCAGTCCGCAAGGCGTGATTAACCTGTGTTCCTTCTTCCGGGAGGTCAAACTGGGAGGTTTTTTCACTCATGTTGGGACAGCGGGCACGTGTGACAGCTTCTTTTTCCTGGGGGCGCGTGAGTTGCTGTTGTTGGAGGGCTGCTGGGGCAGGCTGAAGGATGGGGGGCCACAAGACAAGTAGCAAGGAATAGACGCGTACAGGAAGCTTACAACCATTAAAAACCATTTATATAACACCCATGATTCGCATGACAACCTGGGAGTGGGACTTTCTAACCTTGTGTTTGTCCCACATTTAAACAGCACAGTTTCTTTTTGATGACAGTCGGAAAGGGCTTGCTAGTGGTAGATGCATCTAGAGTGCTAGACGGACGTGGTTGTGTGTGTTATAGCATATGGATTTGTATGAAGGTACGTCGCAAGACGACAAGCCAGAATGCAACACATGCAATATACACATGTGGATTATTTGTCTCAGACATCTCACACTGCAACGTTTCCAAAGCACCCAGTGACTTGACCCTTCATTTTGCCGCCCGCGCAGCAGACAAAAGCTCTAGGTCATACACCGTACAGATCCGTACAGTCTTGTACACTTGCTGACATGCTACAAAGCAAGCGCCTAGTTTGCGCTCCAGGTTCATGCAAGTGTTGCATTGCCCATGTGCTATCATGACTTGGTGATCTTGGTGTTTTGAGTGAATTCCCACGGCCACTACATGCATTTGCATGCAAGATATTGCAGGTGTGCATGTTTGGATCGTGCTGAAAAAGCCATGTAAATCAACATGATCTTCCAAGTTTGCATGTCCAATTGTTCTTCCCTGCAATTAAGTCTGAATGCTGAGACGACGAGAGAGGGTGCGAAAATCGCGCGCAAGATGCCGTGACCCAGTTTCTTCAGGTTCGAGATGGCATGCTTGTTTGAGTATGCCATCCTTCCCATCACCGTGGAGAACCTCTATGACCTCTCAGGCCCTGATGAGGCAAGATGCAAGATTGCGAGATGCTGGATATTTTGTGTTACTTGACCAAAACTTTGACCAGTCGTGAACTCTGAACTTTGGCGAGGTCATATGCTGCGTACTCCAAGGAGCTTCTGGGAGCTCAAGTATATAGTGGATGGAGAGTAGATGGAGAGCTAACCCCCAAAAGGTGGTTCCCCCATCTAAAATACATCTTGGAGTTTGTGCCATCTAATCCGAAGCCACTGTAAATCATACGTGCCCCATAAGTGCAGTGGAAGTCATACTGCTTTCTCCACTGCCTTCTGTGCCAAATCATCGGCCGATGTCCGAGAACGCGGGTCCGGTGGTTGGTCCGAAATCAGGACATCATTGGGCAGCATATCGATGGCACGATGGCACAGACCCCAATGTCGGTGGTTTATATGAACCTCCATGTAGTCGGACATCATGGGGGGAGGTCTGTGCCATTTCTCACCTCTGAAACGACTGGGGATGGGTCGTGACCCACCTGGAACCCTGGAAGCGACCTGGTACGACCCTCCAGACGACCCTCCCCAGAAGATGAGACGGACGACTGGCTTGAAGGAAACTCTTCGTTTCGGGCTGGTGATGTCCGATGTCCATCCCATTTGCCATCACCATCCCATCCCAGATGTCCAATCACCCAGTGATGATGTCAGTGATGTCCAATCTGCCATCATCTCATTCCTTCAATGTGACTTGCTCGGAACGCGAGACGCTGTACGCTCCGCTTCGCAGGCACACTGGGAGACTATGGGCATTGGTGATTGGCTTGGTGTTTCGCAGGAGACCTTGGATGAGTTAAAGCATGTTGAAGTGCCAACTCTAGCTCCTCATCATGTAGATGTGGATTTGAGCACCTCGCAGGACATTTCCTTGTAGGAATTGGGTTGGATGTCACTCATTGGTTAAAAACGGTGACATCTGGTCAATCCTCAAGCTACCACGCAAGTGTTTGGGGATCGGACCATCTGGGGTAGAACAGCAAAAGAAAGCATCTCAGCCGGATATCTCAGCCTCCTTGTCCTTTGTTTAGGACTGCTGGAGTGCTGATCTCAAAACAAGGTGACGCACGGTTTCGCCATCGCGCTGGCGAAACCGTGGCACTCCAAGTAGGTGAAGCCCGGGTGGGTACCGCACGGCACGTGTTTTAACGGCGGGTACAGCACACGACGGTGATCTTCCGAAAGAAAGACCGAACTTCATCCGTCCAACACTGGGGCCTGGTACAGCTCGCAGCTGGGTAACCAGCGGGAGGCCGCTGCCATAGCAGTTGCAAAGGGTCAACCTTTTTCGGTTGAGAAGCCTGTTGGAGGTGCTTGATCTCCTTTGGAGCATCGAGCAAGACTCGATCTATATATATGGGCGGACATCTAGAATCTAGATCGAAATAAACTATACATATAATAACATGGTCGAATAACATTGAACAAGATCAATAGACAAAATAATCCTGAGTAGGTCCCAATTGGTCCCCTGCTCCTTTGGTCCCATGGTCCATTCATCCCCTAGTCCATTGGTCCCATTGGTCTCCTGCTCCTTTGGTCCCCATTGGTCTCCTGCTCCTTTGGTTGCCTTGGTCCTTGCGTCACTTCTGGGCACGGGTGTTTACTTTTCGATGATGATCTACTTTGAGTGCCTTTTGAGGCTGGTGGCGTTTGATATTCGGTCCCCCCCAACTCCCCTCCAGCGCCACGAAATCTGCACGCAAGCATCCTTTCATTGTCTTTTGGTATCTTTGGTGGATGAACCCTTCATTGATGGGGCGATAGGGTGTGTAGTGCGCGATGATCTATATACAGTATTTGGTGGTGCGTTCTGAGTCTGGTGGCTGCAGTTGGCAACCCCATCCAGTGCCACTGGGCCTGCCACGGCAGACTTTTGGTAATCCATCGCATATCAACACCAAATATTGCACGGCCTGGCCTAAGTGTTCTGATTTTGTGTTGCAGGCATCCTTTCATTGTCCTCTGGTGCGTTGCTTTGCTTTGCGGGGGGGGGGGGCAGATCCTTTTGTGGGTCGCCCTGCTGCCGCTGTCCTTTCCCTAGTCTCTTTTTATCTCTTTCTTTCATTGTTCACTGGGAGCTTTTGCTTCCTTTTGTTTTGTTTCTATTGTTTTATCCCCGTCGAATGTGTTTTAGACTGTGTTTGATGATATTAGCTTTTTGTTATCCCTCACCGGGGATTTGGCAAATCCCACACAAATTCCGACAATAGAAGGTGGTGATTGATTTCCCAGATTGGTGATGATTGGTGAAGGGTTCCTGGAACTGTTTAAAGCAAACCTCGCTGTTCACCTCGGTCGTCGAGGTCGGTCTCGACCCGTGAGGATGTGGCGCATGCCTTCTTGAAGAGCTTGCAGAGGGTCAAGAAAGAGAAGCTCCTCGACTTGTTCTCGTAGGATTTGGTAGGTCTATCATTGTCCGGGGCTCCGGAAACACCATGCAGTGAGAAGCTCTTGCGACCGTCCAGCAGGATTGCTGTAGAAGTGCTACTTATTGCTGCTTCTGGTTCGGGGGGGATGTATGAATTGATGCTTACATTGGTCGGACGTGCCCACCCGCCGGCCCAGAAACAACAAGAGCGACAGCAACAAGACAATATTGGAACAGACTTTTGGCTTCAGATTTTCTGGCGAGCAGCCAATTGAGCAAAAGACATTAAGCTCCAATTTGACCTTGTTCAACATACCATATCCTGGTCGCCCCCAGTTCAATTTTAAAGAACATGCAGTCCCATGTGTTCTTTTTGTTTGTGGGGTCATAGCCCCCCAGGATTTGGGTTCAAGTTCCAATGGTTTGCCAAGCAATTGGTAGCGGGGTTGCAAAGCCTTTGGGAAAAATGCTGTCGGGTGGTGTCATGCTCTGGCCTATGGGAAGTTGGTGATTCGCTTCCTTTCCGTGATTTCCCTCATTCACAGCTTATGTTTGCGATATATGCATGGGTAAGAATTTCACTTTGTCACTGTTCTGAAACTTTCTGAAACTATTCTGGAGTCACTGATTCGCAAGTCAAGCAATTTAATATACTGCAGTTTATAGCTGAAGGAGGTGATGCAGATCATTGTGCACATCTATGTAATAAAATCGTTCAATTGTGCACATCATATATGGTTGTAAGTGGCAGAACGAATCGTTCAACGATCTACTCCCCCGCAGAGGACCACATGGAACCTCAAAACCACTGGGTTGTAGAGGAAAATCGTCTTCCACCGGTCAATTCTCAGGTTAGTCGGTCAGATGTTCGGCCGCGAACGATCTTCACCAGGTTGGCGAACATGGAGCAGGGTCAACTGGAGGAGAAGGTCGATGAGGCACGGAAGAAGCAGGGTCGATTTCTTCGTCTTCCAAGCGAAGACCGAACATCTTGGATGAATCACCCCCCCCAAAGCTGGAGATGTAGAACCATCCAGGCAGGAGGTGGGTTGTGAATGAGCAGTCAACATGATGAATGTTGGTGGCTTTCCCTGGTCAAGATTCCACTGATCCTCGGATCTGGAGGATGGAAGAATTGACCCTGAATACACTGGACAAATGCAAAATCCGTGCCCCTTAAGAGTTCCCCAAATCGTTGCACTGGAATCTCTTCCTCAGTCTCCACCCAAAGCTTTCCCCGTGCACTACGGCTTTCCAGGCGATTGCCACCTTGCCCGCGCACAAGCAGCCGCAGGTGGACCGAAGGATTCGTTCGTTCTTCCCCGCCCGGCACCGGTTTCAGAGGTCAAATCCTCAGACCCCGAAACGGGTGTATGGCTCGAACCGGGACGACCCCGGGATCCAAAGGGAGTGTTGGTCAACCTGTCCCGAGGAAGGTCCCCCCTCGCATCAACCTCCATCTCTGAAAACGGCGAAAAGCCTTCGGATATTGATGAGACATGAGGATTGATCCTGGTTACTATATAGTAGCTTCTTGTTCCTAGTAGTAATGCCAGCAGCTACTGGTAGCTGTTTGTTCCTATAGTAGTGATGCCCTTCGTTCCTAGTAGCTTCTTGTTACTAGTGCTACACATGCTGTGCCAGATGTTGTTTTCCCAGACTTGATCACTTTGTGACAGGTATACTGTAGATCAGGTGACAGGGGGGGCAGTGCAGACGACGGTTTTCTGTAGACAAGATGGGGTCTCCACGTGTGGCCCAAATGGTGAGTGAAAAGCTTGGAAAAAACGTTGAGAATACGTTGAGATCACCAATCAAACCAAAGATGCAGGCATGACCAAGTGTGCAAAAGATAGTTATATATATATACTGTATATAATATACTCTCGTGTGAGTGGGGACTATTGGAACATACCCCCAAAACCCTTGAGCCAAGACTGACACGATTGTGCTGCAATTATTTTTCGTCCGTTCCAATGCTCGTTCCGGCCGAAAAGACACATGAAAAGGGACAGACATGAGAATTCTGTGAAGATAGACTTTCACCAACTGAAAGCATAACATCTGTATAGCAATACATACAACATCATAATTAATATACAATGCTATTAATCAAATACAGTTCCAATACCATCAAAGCCCCAGTGGAACCTCCAAGGCTTGCCCGTGCATATGTTTTGCCTGTTGACATGCCTTCTGTGAAAAACAGAACATGAACTAACCAATGGAGACGGACTGAAACGCCCACGAGGCCCCAGAGAGTCGGTCGCCTCTCAGCGGTCTTCGCGTCGCCATGGGAGACGAGAGCGTTTGCCTTGGCACCTTCGGCGAGGAGTGGAGGGGCATCGGTGGTGTTTTCACTTGTTTGACCCATGGGGTACTCAGAACAAGGGATATGATTCAAACACATTCAAACCTTTTCTGAAAAGCCTTTTCTCGAGATTTGTTTCTGTTCCAATTGGAGTTGAACCTGGACCTGGTCTATCCACCTACACCTACACCTACACCTACTACTACTACTACTACTACTACTACTACTACTACTACTACTACT